TATATATATATATATATTTATTTATTTATTTGTTTATTTATTTATTTATTTATTTTTTTGGAAAGGTACTATTTATTTTATTTTTTTTTTTTGGAAAGGTACTATTTATTAATACATTCCATTTTTTTTTCTACATTGCATTTTTAAAATGTTTAACTTTTCACTGAGTATTTGTACATCTTTTACCTCGTTTGAAATCCCTCAGTGACTTGGGTATTACATGAATTTTCATTTTAGAGATTAGGGATTGGGAAGTTAGAGATCACACACAGCTAGCTGATTTAGAACAGTGCCTTTTCTACTTCTCAAAATATTTTATATTTGTGGGTGTATTTGCTTATAAGAATGTATTCATTGGTGGTTGTCTAAAGAGACTTGTACTAAAGTGTTAACAGTGCTTATCGTTGGATTTTTGATTTGGGGTTTGGGATTTTGATTTTTTAAGTTTTATTTTTTATGCTTTAATCTGTATTGTTTGTGTTTTCTAACATAGCGCATGTTATGTTATTTTTATAATCAGAAAAAATGAGAACTATACATTGAGTCCAAAGAAGTCCAGGGAAAGAGTATTGGAAGGACAGTTGTGTGAACAAGTCATTTTTTCTCTGTAGACACGTCAAGTTCTTGAGGAGCTGACTGAGTTGCCTGTGATGGTGGAACTAGCCAGTGACTTCCTGGATAGAAACACGCCAGTCTTTCGAGATGATGTTTGCTTTTTCCTTAGTCAATCAGGTTTGTTAATTTAAGGTCTTGAAGGAAAGGAAAATTATTCTTTCTAATAATGCTAGCATATCTTGGCAAAAACTGGTATTGCAGATGACTTGAAAAATACAGATTTATTTTAATATTACATAATTCTTTATCAATTAGTAAAAGTGAAACTTGTATGCTCAAAGAGCTGAATTTTCAAAGACAGAGAAGGAAAAGAGATCCTAAAAAGCCTATTACTAATGTTTTATAAATTTATTATTTTAAGTGCAGGTTGTATATTTAATTTAAAATAAATAATATTGTTGAAAGTGTGGTCAATCTGTTTTTGCATCTGAGAAACAGCATATGCTGAAACTGCTCTGTGTGTTACTTTTGTCATACTTATTACACAGGTGAGACAGCAGATACCCTGATGGGTCTTCGGTACTGTAAGGAGAGAGGTGCTTTAACTGTGGGGATCACAAATACAGTTGGCAGTTCCATATCAAGGGAGACAGATTGTGGTGTTCACATTAATGCTGGTCCTGAGATTGGTGTGGCCAGTACAAAGGTAAATTCTTGACTTATTTCTCTGGTGATTATTTAATCAGAGAGTTGGTAAAACAGATTACATCTGTAGACTAGACTATATCTTATTTTTCATTTGTTAGCAGTTGTAGAACTCATGTATTTTACTAATCATTGTAATTACTATAAGACTTAAGGATCAGTAATTGGTTAAAAACCCCTTCCCCCACACTCTTTGAGTTTAAAAGGGGCAAATGTACATAACATAAATTCACTTTGAAAAGGTCTCTGTAGGGTGTCCCCCATTCATTACTTATAATCCTCCTACAGGCACAGTGGGATATATAGTAAGTACATAACATCCCTTTTATTGATTATAGTTGGGAATTAGAAAAGTAACAAATTAGAAACATGCAGTTTAATTCTAATAATTTTTGACATTTTAATTTACGTATTCATGGTTGCTAATAAATATGTCAAAATGTACAGCCTGGCCAGTTAACTCAGTTGGTTAGAGTGAAGCCTTGTAACACCAAGGTCATGGGTTCGGAACCCCTTGCCAGCCAGCCACCGAGACTAAAAAAAAAAAAATCATCATAAAAAAATAAAATGTATGTATTACCTGTGAAGGTTTTAAGGAGTACACCTTTGGTATAAAAATCAGCAATTAAAAAAAAAACATTTAAAAAATTTTTTAAGATTAGTATTATATGAAAATGTCTGTTTCTCTTTAGATACTACATCTGTGGAGGTATAAAAGTTCTTTCATTTTTTTTAAAAGGCCTACTGAGACCACTTTGTCTTTTGAAATTGGGATATGCATAAATTTAGTAGTAGTAATAAAAATAGGAATCTTAGAAAGTTGTATACTAAATGCAAAAGGTGTTCTCTCTCCACAAGTGTAGTACTTTTTATGATTTCAAATTTTCAGTTTCTCATTACCTGTTTTTCTGCTTAAGTCTAATATTTCCTGCTAATTGTATAATAAGATGCTTGGGTATTGGTGGATTGGAATTTAATTAAAGGCTTGTGGAAGATGATGTTTTAATGGGAATGTAACCACATTTGAATTTTTTTCCCTCTCATGGATAATTTTTTTGTGGAAAATTTATGAGTCTTATGTATAAACTCTGAGTTAGGTTTTTATTTCTTGAGTATTTTGATATTTCTAATACTATAATTTGCAGATAGCTGCATCTTGAATTTTCTCCACATGGTAATTAAAACATGTAAGATGTTTGTGCTTGGGTTTCCATCCTGTAGCTAAATAAGTAACCAGCTACCCTTAGCAGCAGCTTATGGATTTTTGGAGCAGTGTCCAGACTGACAGCTTTGATTGGAGGATTGGAATCCCAGGGCTCCTTTATCCATAACACATTGTTAAACAAGGGCTTCAACATGGTATATGTGGGATATGGGATCATTAGACTGAATGGATGCTACTGACTTACCTTTTTATAAAACCTTTCTTGAACTGTGAGCTACCAAGGGAAAACACTGTGTTTTTGATTTCTAATTCTTTTGTTTATGAGAACTTTAATTTTCCTTGACATTTTATTATGATGATTTTCAAATATACAGCAGAGTTAAAAGAATTTTACATTAATACCCATATACCCCCCACATAGATTCTACCATCAACCTTTTTTATACAGTTTTATTCCAGTATAATTTTATTCTATAACATTCACCAATTTTTTTTCCTTTTTGTCTTTTTTCGTGACCGGTAATGGGATCGCAACCCTCAGTGTCGCGCCCGTACCGTGACCGGCAACGGGATAGCAACCCTCGGTGTCGCGCCCGCACCGCGCTCAACCAGTGAGTGGACCGGTCTCTATATGGGATCCGAACCCTCGGCGGGAGCACCGCCGCACTCTACCGAGTGCGCCGCTGGGCCGGCCCAACATTCACCAATTTTAATGTACAGTTTTAGTAAATGTATTTGGCTATGTAACTATCACCACAGTCCTGTTTTAGAAGACTGCACTCACCTTAAGTTCCTTTGCTTCCCTTTACAGTTAATCCTCACTCCTACCCCCAGCCTCACATTCAGCAACTGTTTTCTTTTACTGTATTATGCCATTTTCCAGAAATTTCCTATAAATGGAATTGTATAATATGCGTCTTTTGTGTCTGGCTTCTTTAATTTAGCATGAAGTTTTTTGAGATTCATTCACGTTGTCTCGTTTTGCAAGTTCTTTTTAAAAAAATCTTTTTATTTTGAAATAACTATAGATTTACAGGAAGTTGCAAAGACAGTACAGAGAAGTCACATGAATCTTCACCCAGTTTCCCCCATTGGTTACATCTTATATAAGAAAATAAACATCTTTTTATAGTATATACTTTAATTTCTTTAAAAAATGACTCTGAAAAAATTTAGTTAAGTATGGCAGTTTAGTGTTACTTTCCTTTTTCTTGGATTCTAAAGTAATTTTGTTTTCTTCAACTGTCTTAGAGTTGGGCTTGGTGTTAATTAAAATAAGTTTTGGGATATTTAGTCATAAAGCACTTCTGAATGGTAAACCTGACTTTATATGTTAATGGTTAATCAAAGAAGTTGATTATTGATCTTGATCCCTAAGTTCAGTGATGGAACTAGCAGAAGAATTCTATGATCTTGTTTATGAATTCTCAACTTTGCCTGAAAAACTGTCAGGATTAAAGGGATATTACTGACATTCTCATATATCAGACCATAGAGAATTTGATATTTCTGTAGTAATTGATGGGGATAAATGTGCAGGTTCAGCAAATTTTATGTTATTGCAGGTGTTTAAAATTTCACCACAGTGCTGACTTTTGTTGATTTTAAAAAATAAACCAATGTAACTTTGTTTTTGGCTGAATAAAAAGAAAAACCAAGTTTAAAAGTTCAGAGTCAAGATTTTCCTGGTAAATTCTTTCAAACCTCAGTAGATTCTAAATGTAGGGTATAGCTTATTTTTCTCATAATTGGTTTCCTGGTATGTATCGATGAAATGAAAAATATGAAATTGAAATTGGAAATTAAACTGTAATAGCAATGCAGTGGAAAAATGCATGCATTAAATTTACTCTGTTTAATATTTGTACTCAAAAACCAGGGTTGAGATGTTTTCATTCCCAACAAAGAAACTCATGTTTTTAGAATAATATTTTTAGCTATGGGCCAGAGGAACTGGAATACCGTTTATCTGATCAGTTTGGATTGGAAACAGTTTAGATATTACAGAGTCCAATATACTGAGTCTCTCCCTCTGCTCTGATAGTATATTTTGTGATTAATTGGCTTATTGAAAAGTAAACTACAGTAGGAAGAGGTAGACTAGGAATGGACTGGAATTTAGAATATAGATGTGCTCATTAGACTTGTAGGCAAGGGACTCCAAATCCACTTCAGTGCTATAGAAAAAAAAATTCCAATCTTCTGGTAGAACATAATAGAAGTACAGGGACAGATAATTGTGGAGGACCATATGAGCAGCTGGAAGTTGGGAAGTCTAGCAAGAGGAAACAGGGAGCCTCATTTAAAAAGTGGGAAGATAAGCAGCATTATCAAACTGTGATTTTATAATTTTATGCATATTATGACAGGAAACTATTCACTAATGAAGTGATCCCTCATCCAGGGAAGAGTAATAGGGATTCAGAATATAAGACACACACACACACACACACACACACACACACACACACACCCCAGAATAAGTTTCCTGAAGTTAAAATTATACATAACACTGTAATTGACCATAGCACAGTAATCCTCACAATTTAATAATAAAAATGTTAGTTAAAGCCTCAAACACCTAAACATAAAAATATTGGGTTAAAAAGATATCAGAACTACCATTAAGAAAGACTTACTAGAAAAAATTAAGATGATGAAAAATAGGGATAAAAATTTAGAAAGTGTGGCTAAAGTAATAATTAGAGGTAAATTCATAGCATTAAAATGCTTTATTTTCATAGAGAAAATGAGCTAACTATTTAACTCAAAAAGAAAACCCAATAATACAGAAGGTGGCAAATAATAGAGAAAGATGAATGAATGCATTACAAAACAGAAAGCTTCAGGACTTTCATCTCAGTGGGCCTCAGCTGTTCTTCTGGAACCTTCCTAGGATGCAGAAGCAAGAAAAAGTGGCCTTAGATTCTTCCTCAGCCTGATGTTTCACTGTGACTACCAGTGGGTTAGCATTGGCTCTGTATGCAACCTATTTGTTATTCTTGTTCTAGATTTTCTCTCCAGTTTAATAAGAAAAATAAGTAAAATAATGGGAAAGGATAAAACAGAATTCCGCTTATTTGCAATTATGATGGACTATCTGTAGAGTTTAAGAATATCAACTGAAGGACTTCTTAAAATGAATAGGAATTCAATAAGTGCTTTATATAAAAAATGTACAAAAAGCCTTTATAAGTAGAAAATATCTTGGGGAAGATTTGGGTGTGTATGTTGGAGGGGAATTCTCTTTTCAATAGCTATAAAAATATGTTAAAATAACTTTACTAGGAAATATGTAAGATGCTCTATAAATATTTGTTGAATAGATGAAAACAATATAACTTTGTAGACCTTTAAATTCCTAGCACAAATTGATTAAAATGCCATATTTTTGGATGGGAAGATAGTTTTATAGAGAAATGACAGATCTGTGGGATAGAATCAGTAGTCCTGCAACATAACCCTAGTACATCAAAGGACTCAGAATACAGGAAATGTCACAAACCAATAGAGAAAGGGTGAGGGAGAAATGGAAAATTGGCTATTTATAAAAACAGAAACTAACACCTTGCACTAAAATTAATTCCAGATAGACTAAAAAGGAAAATGTTAAAAAAAAAAAAAAAAAAAAGGCAAATATAAAGGAACAAGGAAAACAACAAAACTGAGAAAATTTAATAATAATAATAATAACTCTTAACTGATGTTAGGATGTGGAAGGATTGTCTAAGCTTAAAAGTACTACATGAAAGTTAAAAAATAAAACTATGTCAGTCAAAACCCATGTAGAAGGTAAACTCAAACTGAGAAAAAGTATTTGAAACATAACAATAAAGGCCTCTTAAGACCAATTTATAAAAACAGAAATCAAGAAAACACCAAGTTGAAAAACAGGTGAAGAACAACAAAATTAATTCTCAAAAGAGAAAACATAAGTGGCCAACAAACATGAAAAAATCTTAATTTTTTGGATTCAAGATGTGTGTGGTAAAGTAATAGTGAGCATCCATTGTCTAGCAGTCAAAATGGTAAAAATTTCTTAAAATGATAATTCACAATATTTTACAGATTGTGGCAGACAGGCACATCTCACATTTGCATATAGCTAATGAGAATGAAAATAGTCTTGGTGGTATGACTGCAAGTTTTAAAATATTCACAATTCTGTAGCCTAGGAAAATAAATGTTTTTTAGTTTAAGCTTTCATTAATAAAATTTAGTATGTTTTGAGCCTATATATCAGGTGTTATGCTGAGTGTTTTACATTTGTCTTATTTAATTATCATGATAATCTTGTGTCATGTGCATTGAACAGATGGGGTGTCTGAGACCTATAGAGATGAAAACTGCTCAAGGTTATTACACACCACTAAAAAGAGAGAGAGGGTTCTGTTGGGAAAATGTCTATAATGTTAATTGGGAGTAAAAGCAACTTATGAGATTGTACCTGCTAATAATTCTCTTAACAATGTAAGGAAAAGAAAAACACAGTAAAAACTAGAAGGCAGTATTCACAAATGTTATTAACAGCATATTATTAATGTAATTATAGTGTAATTATTCCTGTTAATTAGTAGAATTGGAGATAATTCTTATTTACTTTTCTGCAGTTGAACCTTCTTTCTTATTTTTAGCCAGACTTAAAAAAGGTGCCCCAAGGAGAATCCTTGCCTTCTGATTTACACCGAAAACTTAATTTGGTGGGGCACATGCAGATTTACTCTCATCTCATCTTCCTTTGGCATGTTTTTTTTCCTTCTTTTCTTGGGGGTATTAGGTATTTCATAAGCATCCAATGCATTGTAAGATGTTTTGTTTTTGTATCTGAGAAATAAAGTTTAAGTCATTTGTTCAAGATTCGGAAAAGGAGGATAATGATAGGTTTCCCAAGTACTGCTTCAGTTCACTGTTATTAACGTTTTTAAAAGATAGGCAATATATACTGTAAAACCAATGGGAATTTTATTTTTATCTTTTTTAAAATTAAAAGTTCCAAGTTCTTAAGATGGAACTGCAACTAATTCTGCTTTTTTTTGTGGTGTTTCAGGCTTACACCAGCCAGTTTGTGTCCCTTGTGATGTTTGCCCTTATGATGTGTGATGACAGGATCTCCATGCAAGAGAGACGCAAAGAGATCATGCTTGGGTTGAAACGGCTGCCTGGTATGAAGACATTCACATATTAAACTTTTCTTGTCTAAGGGAGTGGGAAATGGGTGAAATTCTCTTCTTATCCTTAAAGCTGTGGCTTGTAGTTGTTTAGTCAATAAGATCTTCCTACTTTTGCTCACAGGCATTAAAAAAATCCCACACTGATAACACAGAAGAATAGAAACACTGGTCTTTTGTTGGTTGCTACCAATATATTATTGCTATTATATCTGTTTAGTTTATTGTCCCTTTTTCATGGATTTTGCTAATATTCTTAACAGATTTGATTAAGGAAGTACTGAGCATGGATGATGAAATTCAGAAATTGGCAACAGAACTTTATCATCAGAAGTCAGTCCTGATCATGGGACGAGGCTATCATTATGCTACTTGTCTTGAAGGGGCACTGGTGAGTTTTCTCACTTATAATTATTTTCAGTCTATTGACTTATGGACCTGGCACGTAGTCAGAGTTTTAGACTGAATGAATAAATAGTTGGAACTTTTAAAAGTGTCTCTGATTCATGCATTGTGATTTCTTTACCTTGAGAAAGAGCAATAGAGAACTTAATTCAAAAGTGAAAACCAAGAAGAATATGTATTAGCATAATAACTGGGGTTTAGCAATTGATTTGGGTTAATTTGTTCAAATATGAATAAAATAAAACTTAAGTTCTCTACATAAGAAATTTGAGGTCAAACATGAAGCAAATGGAAGAACAGTTACAAAGAAATATGAATATGTTCATGATAATCTAAAATGTTAAAAAAGTTCTTGTGAAGCTTTAAAATTTCCAATTGCATGTAATAGAAATAATGATTTATTAACTTGTTAGCTGTATTGACAGATCCTTTAATACTTTTTGGATAGATGGTGACTTAACATGTCAGATACTTTGTATAATATATACTTAAGGAAGGATTTTTGAAAAATGAACTGAAGACTAATATGGTTCTTTCCTATTAGAAAATCAAAGAAATTACTTACATGCACTCTGAAGGTATTCTTGCTGGTGAATTGAAACATGGTCCTCTGGCTTTGGTGGATAAGTTGATGCCTGTCATTATGATCATCATGAGAGATCACACTTACACCAAGTGTCAGAATGCTCTGCAGCAGGTGGTTGCTCGGCAGGTAAGTCAGGGGGGCGCTGTTAGGCGCTGTTGGAGATCTAAGAGGGGTTACTAAAGCTTATTTGATTTCATGACATTTAAAGTGATAGACCAGGACCAGAGAGTTGACTTACAAAACATGTTTACACTCATTTTGGAATATAGCCTTTTAGATTTACATGTGAGGAATTAAATTCCCAGCTTATAGATCTCATAATAGGTACAACCAAGACCAAAACTGAGGTCTTGGTCTCCAAATCCTGTCTTCTCTCAATTAATATATACTGTTCCCTTTTAATTTAGTATTCTTAAATATATATTTCAGAAGAAACCTAACATTTAGATTTTACATTAATATTATGAGTGTTGTGCTTAATTGAATTTTCTTCAGATTTGTTGGCTTTATATATAAATCCCCCAAAATATTATTCGCTGAGCACAATATAATGGTAATGAACTTGAGCTTCAAAGATAGGCAGACCTGAATCTGATAGTTTTTAGTTGTGTGAGTTTAAACAAATTACTGAATTCCCACAAAACTTGTTTCACAGCTATAACTGAGATCAGTCAGACTTAACCATACAGGTTCGTGAGATTAAATTTGTTGGTGAGGCCACGTGGGTTATGTAGTGCAAAATTTGCACATTCGTGTACTATAGTACTACATTTGCTAAACAGTGATTATATGTGCATGTGTGTGTGATTTTCTTTCCCAGGGACGCCCTGTGGTGATTTGTGATAAGGAGGATACTGAAACCATTAAGAACACAAAAAGAACGATCAAGGTGCCCCATTCAGTAGACTGTTTGCAGGGCATTCTCAGCGTGATCCCCTTACAGTTGCTGGCCTTCCACCTTGCTGTACTGAGAGGCTATGATGTAAGTGATCTACAGAAATCACTTGCCACTCCAGAAATCTTGGGTTGTTTTCTTTACCTGGATACATTCTGATAGTTTTCATACTAAATTTTTAATAATAACCTGGCCTTCCACCTTGCTGTACTGAGAGGCTATGATGTAAGTGATCTACAGAAATCACTTGCTACTCCAGAAATCTTGGGTTGTTTTCTTTACCTGGATACATTCTGATAGTTTTCATACTAAATTTTTAATAATAACGTTCGAGAAATCCATTAGATATATATCTGTTTCTAATTATATTTTCATGGCCCAATTTGTAGATTATATCACAGCTTCTTCTTACCCATAGAATTCGAAGGAACCTTGGAGGTCACCAACAAGATTGTGGCTCTCCTTGGGAAATTACCATCTGTTTTCTTAGTATAACCCCGTGTTTCTTAATAGGGTAGGTATTGGCATTCTGGGCAGGACAATTCTTTATTGTTTGGAACTGTCTCACACATTGCAGGACTTTTAGCATTTCTGGTCCCCAGTCATTGTGGTAACCAAAAATCCTGCTCTTATATTTCTAGTAGTGTCCCCGTGAGGGCGTCCACCCTATAGAAGACCATGGATTTCTTCCTGTGTGAACTGATACCCTTAGAAATCTTTTTCCTAACTTAATTCAGTTTTTTTCAAGTTACATTATATTATTATTTTTTTCTAAACTAATTCTTTGTAGTCTATACTGAAGATGATTGATAAACATATTGTTTTCTGTTTTATAAACAAAAATAATTTGCTTATAGCACCCTCCTCCCCTGCCCCCAATTTGTATAATTTCTCAAATCTTGTTCTTTTTTGCAGGTGGATTTCCCACGGAATCTTGCCAAATCCGTAACTGTAGAGTAAAGAGCATCTGAAACTCTGGGCGACTAAGCAACACTAGACACCTTTTGTATTTAAGACCTTGATTTAAAATATCACCCCTTGAAGACTTTTTTAGTAAATCCTTATTTATATGTCAGTTATAATTATTCCACTCAATTTGTGATTTTTGTGAAATTACCTCTTATATTTTTCCAGTAATTTGTGGGGGAGTTAGAATAATGACATCTGTATTGGAATCTGTATCAGAAAGATTTTAGCTGTTGTTTGCTTTCAAGAATGCTGAGTATTGAATTTCTGGGCCCTCCATATCAATCTGAGAAGATTGTATGTTTTTAAAATAACTGGCATTTGTTTTACCATGCTTCTGTTCATTCAGACCAATGAAAGAGTAGTGCATTTAGTTGAAATATCTAAAGCCAGTGGCAATGGATGCTAATACTTGGACGTTTAATGAAGATTTTGATTAAGTTATATATAAAGAGAAGATGCTGTGATTTATTTTGAAACTTGTTTCTGCTTTGTTTTTAGATCAAACTTGTTAAACTTAAAAACTGAAAACTTTTCTGGGTGGGATTTATATCTTAGTTTGATTATCCTTATTTCTCAGACTTGTTGCCTGTTATCTGTAGGGGGAGGTAATTGAGGAAGCAAAATATTAGTGCATTGGTGTTCTCCAACCCTTAACAGAACATATTTGCACAATTTTATAGCACAGACTTTAAATTTGAGCTGCTTTGAACAACTGACAATGTGATTTTAAATTTGAAGATGGGATGTGTACATATTGGGTGTCCTACTTCTTGTTTTTTCATCTCCTAAAAGTGGTTTTTATTTCCTTGTATCTGTAGTCTTTTATTCTTTAAGTGACTGCTGAATGAAACATTTTATCTTGTTCTTTGAAATTGCAACACAGAGCTGCTATCAAATGTTTCTAATTAAGTCAATATTAATATATTCATTATTCTTTTCAAGTTTGTCCCAAGGAAGAATTTCTTGCAGTTAATTTTAACTTTCCTTTACTGCCTCGTTGGATAAAATTAGTACCTTAGTGCCAGTTTGGAAGTTCTTTGCAATTTTGCGGAAGATTTGCCAGTCTTTGACTAATCTTTTGACTCTAAATATGTATGGTAGCCAAATAGGCATCAAATTTAGTATTACTTCTTAAGTATTTTTTCTCTCTGTATTATCTGTGCTCTACCCCTGAAATATATTTAGGAATGAAGAAGATAAAAATAAAGTGATAATTGAGGTGCCTTCAGCTGGTTAGTGTCAGAAATGGAAGTTGATGATTTGGATTAAAATATTTAAAGTAGAATACTAGTTTGAAACCTCAAAAATTGTGAGTTATAATTCCCTCATGGAGCTTTTGGAGCCAGATCTTGGGGGCTAGGAGAGTGTGTTTATGTTTTGGTTAAGTCCTTCTCTTTCAAAAGTTTTCACTTTTAGATTGTGAAGGTGAGGTATTTATTTAGCACAATTATTTAAGTTCAGTCTTTTTTTTGTTTGTTTGTTTGAACTTCTTGATGAAGTTAGATTTTCTAATAGCTATTATTGCTGCAAGAGAAGCATAGAATTCTGCTTGTGTGTTAGGGTTAGAGAAAGAGCTGGTATATTTTAAGATAATTTGAAAGGCCTCTCATAGGCCCGATTGTTTTTAAAAATGAAATAGGGCCACTACTTACATCACATATATAGCTATGATAGCTATATGTATCTACCTTGTTTCTAAGATTATTTTGTGTTAACTTGCTAGTTTTAGTATATATATTTTAAGATAATTTGAAAGGCCTCTCATAGGCCCGATTGTTTTTAAAAATGAAATAGGGTCACTACTTACATCACATATATAGCTACGATAGCTATATGTATCTACCTTGTTTCTAAGATTATTTTGTGTTAACTTGCTAGTTTTAGTATATAGATAGTGTCATTTCTTATGTTTGGCATATTTGCATTTTACACACATGATTTGTATGGGTTTGTAGCATTTCTTAATGTCTAAAGTTTGATTCACCATTCTAAGTTAAAATTAATATGTGAAAACAGTTATTAGTTTGCATAATCTCTGTCTGCCTCTGTGTGTCTCTCTCTAAAACACACACTCTCACTGTCTCACACTGCAAGCTAGGATAAGTTTTAAACTGAATATTAAAAGCCAAAATTAAGAATGAAGAAGTGATATTTTCCAAATAAACATAGTTTCTTCTCCGTCTCCCTTCTTCTTGCTCTCTACCCCATGTGATATGATGGTTTTTAAATGCTTTTATAAATTAATTCTTAACACAAAAAAGATATTGTAAGTAAGCAAGCATGCTAAGTAATGAGCATGCCCAATTAAAATCAATATAATACAGGATAAGAAAATCTGATTTTTTAAAAGAGATGTTCTCCAAAAAGAGCCCTTTATATAAAAAGTTCTTTCTTGTAGTACATTTAAGGTTTGAACTCACTCATATATAACTTAGAGTTCCTTACCCCATAAATCCTTTATGAGCAGGGGGACGTGTAGCATCTAACACGTCTTAGTAAATGATTGTGACCTTGGAGTCAGTTTTTCTATCTTAAGATCATTTATGCCATAAGAATAAAAGATAAGAGAAAAATTAAAGTTAACTTTTTAGTTTGTTATGACTATGTCAGCAAGTGTTTATTAATACCTGTCATGGGCAAGTCACTATGCTAGGCACTGCAAATTAGAACAGTGTTCTAATCTTCTTTAGAACAATGTCTGTTTGTTCCTAGATGGACTCATCACTAGTGAAGACTAGGTTCATTGGAAGGCACAGGGTGAGAGAGTGGAAAGATGGATGAGCTGAGTTGTTAAATGCTGTGAGTGGATTTGTTTACTTAAAGGCCCAATTATGAACATGAACCCCAATTTTGGGGTGTAACATGTTCATAAGAAGTGAAATGTGTTGGTAAAGTAAGCTATTGTCACAGGCAATAAATGATCCATAAGTCTATAATAGTCATTAATATGCACAGATGAAAAAGAATCAAGCATTACTACTACTCAAAGAGAACTGACGTATGGAGATGTGCAGATGGGGCTATTGGTTGGAGACCGTACGCAGGTTTTCTCTCTTAGGTTTCTTAGAAGGTTATTTCTGAGATGATATTGTCTTATCCTTTTGAATGCAGGTCTCTTGAGTTAGTTCTGAGGATGGGAGGAAAGGAGCCTTTTTTGGCTCCTTGGTAACATTCCTCTGACATTTCTATTACTCTTCAAAGAAGGAAAACCAACCAAAATGTTTGCTTTAATAAACACATTTTAAGAAGTCCTTCGGGGTCAGTTTTTTCTGTAATTTTTTTTTTAATTAGGACATCCTATAGCAATAAAAGAGAAAGACTAATGTTAACTGTTTATTGTATGCTATAACTTACGTGATCTTTCTGAAAAAGCACAATGTCATTGAAAAGTAATTTATTGAAAAAGAATTTATAGCTCACATTGAATTTGTGGAGGCCAAAGAAATTGAAGAGACTGGTAAAGATATTTTAGTTTTATGATATCCACATATTAGTAAATTTTGTGTACAAAAATACCAGGCCAAGTGCTTTGCCCATTGGAAACATATTTCAAATTACTTTGTTTTTGCTATTAGAGTCTCAAGTTTAGAAGTTTAACGCTTAAATCAGTTTTTTCCCGCTATATTTAGAGATTGTTAATATTTCAGTATCTTCATAGCTTGATGAATTTAAACATATCTTCAGATCTGTGACAGTGACAACCAGTAAGACTGATAACATTAGCTTCAAACCAGTAGTATCCAGGGTTAAAATAAAAATCATAGTTAAATAACAAGAAGATTGTACAGTTGTGCCATTATTAACTTGTAAGTCTGTAATAGGTTGATATCAAAATGTTATATAATATACCATAAATGACTGAGAACATTTTAGGAAATTACCAAATTACCTTTCTTACTATACTAGTTTTCAGAATGAATATAGAAATGACCCTGTTAGCTTTTTGAATGTTCAGTGGTTGAATGTGTTTTTGTTTAAATAAAACATTTAGTGTTTGTATAAATTATACTTTTTGTGAGATGGAAATTTTAGAATTATCCTTGCTTTGTTTTGGATTTTTGTTCTTTGAAGTGAATGTTTAGTTTACTGAGCCAGTTTGGTCATTTCTTCCTCATGTCTTGTTAAGTCCAGTGATTCTAAGCCTGAACTATGAATAAATTACCAAAAACTTGCTGAGAATTTAATTTTGAAGCAATTTGCCAACATATGAACCTTATATATGTGTGTAGTTGTGTTAAAAATTGTATTGTACTAAGAATGTAGCCCAGTGTTTACTTTAGTTGTTGGTAAACATTTCTGATGCCAAAAATTTATTCATTACTGTTGCTTTTAAAAATATGAAAAGATTGCATAACATTATCAAAAGCCACAATTCCTACCACAATCTCTCGATTGTTTAGAAAGGATCGTTAGATAAAACAAAGGCTGTACTCTTTCAGATATCACATTCCACAGATATACTTTCCCAAGTCTTTAAAAAAATTTTTTGCAATAATGTATTGTTTATAGCAAATTTCCAGGGTATATGCAGTGATTAAAAACTTTAAGTGTATTGATAGTTTCAAAAGAAGAATATTTAAGGTGAGTGAATAGCAAGATAATCTAAAGTTTCTGTAATATCTGGCAATCTGTTAATCATAGAACAAAGATTCCCTTAACAGAGTCTTTTTATAAGCAGCAGCCTAGAATCTCTATCCCTAATGCTTACAGCACTTACTGCTTTGCAGGAGACAGTTGTCAGGGTAGTTTGAATGAATAGATGTGCTGTTTTGCCTTCCTGTAGAATTGAACCCATCCTCATCTCTTCTCTCCCTGCTCCCTTGCCCTCACCTCTCCTACCACTTGTTCTGCAGCACAGCCTAAGGCTGCCCCACTAAAATGGATCACTTTTTCCACAGTCTACATTTTTGACATAAAATTCAGCTTTACTTCTAGTGAACACTTTTCTTTAATTTCTCCTCAATTGGCTATTAGTGAGTATTTACTGAGTGCTTACTAAAGGCCAAGAAAAAATTTCCCTAAAAATTGAGGTCATTTTTCAGAGGAGTGGTATTTGGAGAAAAATAAATTAACTTTTTTGAATGAGGGAAAGAAGTAAAGGTTAAAATTTCTCATTAATCTGAAGTAAAGGTTAAATTTCTCATTAATTTGGCATTTTTCAGAGGAGTGGTATTTGGAGAAAAATAAATTAACTTTTTTGAATGAGGGAAAGAAATAAAGGTTAAAATTTCTCATTAATCTGAAGTAAAGGTTAAATTTCTCATTAATTTGAAAGTACATAGTTTTCCCTTTTTTTTAGATGATGTAAGAGTTTTATTAGCTTAACAAGCATGCAGGAGCAATAAATTGATCTTGTGATAAAACATAGGAAAGTTACCAGATTTTAGGTTATTTAATCAGCTGACCTCCTCCTACGTAGTTTATATGTCATAAGATAAATTCATTATTTTTGTTTAGCATTTGTAAAAAACACTTT